TTCGTGAGATGTGGACATTGGTTTTGCCTTAAATCGCTGTACTTCACACAACCACATGCAAAGTCTACTACACTCTCCTTTCAATAGCTCAAATTTTCATGTGTTGACTATGTGGTTTGCTTGATGGTTTGGTCAACTTCTTGGAGAGTATAATTGATGCTAGAGATCCTAAAGTGTCACAACATGGGTTTGTATTTGGTGGGATGTCTTGCTTTATTGAAGTCGGTTTCAGTATAGCGGTGTTAAAAATAATAGAATCCCTCACAATATTTCATAATGAAGTCAAAGTACAATAAGCGAAAGGTATTTCGAAGTTAGTTTTTTTAACGGCGACAGCTTGTGTTTTTTACAGGAATGATTTAGCCTCTTGTGAGGAATTACATATTTACATATTACATATTACATTATTGAAGCTGAAAGCTCTCCTCTCTTAAAACGTATCGTCGTTGCATGCATTTTCAACACATGCCCAATGATTGCCGAAATACTTTGGACTTTTACTTGCCGTTTTTTGAGCATCAGCATAAAACGAGGGTAATATTGCACCATATGCAGTAATGGTAACACAGTTCTCCATAACTTCTTGACCCTTATCACTGCACCTCCATCTCACACACTACTTCAAAGCACTACGACATATGTACGGCTAGTGAAAAATCATTTTGTTACGTAAATCTCCGAGAAAATAAATTGACCTGGAAAAACTATTCATCAGCCTTTAGGAGCTTTTGACCATTCATATAGGTTGATTGGGCTGACCTTCATAGCACGTTTTACCATCCATCATGCTATTAAAGGCGAGTACGTGTAGACATATTTCAGTGATGTCAACACTGACTTTGACCCTAAAAGTCGATCTTTCAAAATTTACATCTTTACTGATCATCATAATTGTGTGTACAGTTTTCATCCACCTATTCTGTAAGTCAATCGGGAAAAGCGCACTGTCGATCAGACGTACCGCGTGAGCAAGCATTACGTGTACAGTGTGTCACGAAAATAAAGGCATTTTAACAAAGAAGTCAAAAAGTAAGATATTGTGTCATTATATCCGGTTAATTATCAAGTGATAAGAATGATATCTGAAACGCCTATGTGTTGGCCAGACCAATGACACATAAACCAGCACGAGCAGCCTAGACTGAATGCCACTGAGATAGTAGCCTCTCAACTAATCCAGCCAGTTTAATCTAGAACTTCATCATCAGCCTTCATTGTACGGATCGTGTATTTCAGACCTACAAATTTTATATGCAAGCAGATGAGACTGTATCATACCATAAAATAGGAAATAACAATCATAAAATATCAAGCTCAAAGTGACTGTGAGTGTGAGATAATGCTACTAACAAATTAAAAATAACATAAGAATAGTAATAGTAGTGAATAGTACAAAATGAAGCTTACAATAATAAGATATTTTTTCGGCCGAACTGTATATATTTTTCTTCAATTTCAAAACTTCCAAAAATTCTCCCAAACTTCAAAGAATAAGGTAAACTTTAATAAAGACGTTTGTGTGACATACGGATCTCAATAATCTGGGAAAGTTAAGAGACGCGTACCCATCAGATATAGACTTTCTAGCTGAATGAGGCCAAGCTAAGAAATTCCAGTGTAGAAAGTAACATAATACAGGTACAATACTAAACTAATCTCCACAGTACTGAGCATAGAGTCTTAGACAATCCAGAGTCAGAATCAGTAGGCCGTTTGGCTTGACAAAGTTTATATGTTAACAAAACAAAAAATCAATACCATCAGTATGCAAAAAGTCAATCAAGGAAGTCCGTTAAATGTGGCAAAATAGCTACATAAATAACGTTGAACAGTAGCTAGAGAATAAGAAAAATGAGTCAACAAAAAGAATGTCGTTTTCAACAGACGAAAAGGTTGTAGTGATCTGCCAGTCTCGATAAGAACACGATTGGAACAACGGAAACAATTATTATTATTGTAACTAATTGTACCAGAGATTGTTTTACTGTATTTGTTTAACTGTATCAGTTTCACTTCTTGTTTCGCTCTTCGCCTTGTTTGGTTCGAACTTGCTCACGCACTGCCTGTTCGCCTGTACTCTTTGGCACGTCTCGGTATTATTTCGATACCACGAGATCGTCAATAAATACAATTGATCTGGATTAATAAAGTCTTCTGATTTACGAGCTATCAAAGGAACCAAGTCGTTTTTGGGCGCGTAAACGAATTGTAGTGGTGATCATAGTCCGTCTTCGACTCGACATCCACTACAAGGTTATGAATGATGAATAAACGAAGCACAGTCATCTAAGTTCAAAGAGAGTCAATATGAGAATGAACGTTAAACGCTGTTACCGGTGCGCTTGTTCATAGATCACGCCTTACATCCAAAAACAAATGGGAAGTAAATCTATAGAACTGCAAATATGCCAAAGTACTGTGTCTAAAAATAAATATGTGGACAAAATGCATTACATGATTTCGATATTTAGGTTTTCTGAGGTATGGATACATAACGTAAGAGCAAAATGCAGGATTAAAAACATAAGTAAAAGATGGTTAAATCTTGAGTACTAAAGATAAATCAAAACTCACTCCGGAGAGTAATTTCTGCGTTAATAAATCAAAACCAGCTGATTACTTTAAGCTATATAACAGCATTTACCTTATGAAGAACTACATTACTAAAGTCGTGTGATAAAGAGAAGGTAAATCCTTTAATGCAAAGTGATTAGTTTCATTATACGTTTTGGTAATACATCTTATCGAAACAGTGAATAAAGAACGAGACAGTAAATTTATAAAGTAGATATATAGATAAAGTTGAACACGTTTATTGTTGTCAGCGATCATATAACTGAAAATTATGCATTGTTACTAGAACAGTTAGCTTTCTTTTGAAAACATACGTACTTAAACCTCTTACCCTTCATGGAGGAGAAAAGGACCCAATACAAAGCTCCTATTTCCACTTGTTTAAAGTTGCTATCTATCATTTCGATGTGGACTTCCGATTTGAGACGCAATCTGTTCCTTCATCTTCCTCTTTCCATCCTACATTCAGGATTCCAAGTAAACGCATACCTCATGATGCAGTTTTGTAATTCCCACAATGTATGTCCTAGCCACATCCAACTCCCTTTCCCTATTTACTATTCAGATAAGAGCTGGTTTGCTCACTCCCATACTAGAACGTTGCTGATAGTATCCGATCAACAGACATTGAGTATCTGGAGTAGATAATTATCTATAAATACTTGTATCTTTTGATTATGATTGTGGTAGTTGTCCAAGTCTCAGCTACATACAATAGAGCTGTCTTGACGTTCGTATTGACGATTCTGATTGACTGATGTTGTTTGACAGTTGTTTTCATTTCCATATGTTCTTCAGTTGTAAAAATGCTGCACTTAGTTTGCTAATCGTTACACTAACATCTGCATCAAATGCCCCTTTTTCATCGATGATGATGATTTCCTCGTATTTCTGATTGTCCACTCTAACGCTTCTCCTTCTCTTAATGTTTGTTTGTGTGTATTTGACCTGTGAGTTGACAATATCTCTGTTCTTGTTCGGTTGTTGTTAATTGCTGTCTTCCTTTCTTGAGTACTGTGCAGGGTTTCCATAGAGATCCATTCCTTATGATGCAGCTTCTTGCTGCCCAGAACCTCCTGACACGTCAAAGTTAGTGCCATTTTGATCTTTTTTCAGTTATCCTCCATAGTGGTTTCCTTCAGTAGATCCTGTTGAACTTAGAACCTGTTGTAGAGAGTTATCTTGAGTTGGTTAAGGAAGGCTGTATCGAACCTTTGTAACGCTGTTTATCCAGTTGTCTAGTGCTTCTTTAGCTTCAGATTCATCTTGGCAACCAGAAGTTGGTGGTGATCTGAAGCTATGTCAGCTCCTCTCTTAGTTCTCACGTCCTCCATTGACCTTTGAATTTTTTAGCGACGAAAATATAATCTGTCTCGTTCTCTGTAATGTGGTCCGGTGAGAACCACGAAGCTATGTGAATGTATTTGTGTCACATATAACCACTTTGTTGAATGCACATGAATTCAAAAGTCTCACCATTCTCGTTCCTTTCTCCAAGCCAGTCTATGTCGTCTCATGATGTCCATATATATATGCAAACTTTAATTCCTTAGCTTAGTGCAAACAATTGTTTCATATAGATACTATTTAATGTACTTTCAACCTTTTTTTCATCGTCTTTATTGTTTTATTCCTTCCGAAGATTCAGGTTTACAAAAACTTAAAAACCCAGAACAAAAACTTGATTTAAATAATTTTAATGTGTAAGTATATTGTTTTATTTTTTTTACTAGTTATAATTGCAATTATTTTACTAAATAAATAATAGGCTGAAGACATACATACAGTAATAAGGCGGTGAATGTCACCATACTCAACTGTTTACAATTACTTTCAATTAGATGATCATTTGAATCTGATACAAATACAGAAAAAGTAACCAGGCGCCTAACAGAGGCCAAGTCATACACATTTGCAGGTAAAGTGTATTTTAATTAAAGATATAAGGTGATATACATCTGTATATATTCATTTGTAATGTTAGAACTAATATTATTGTGTTAATAATAAGTCCTGTTATCACGAATATTTTATGATTACTTGAAGTAATGAGTAATAATCTTGTTTTATTCATCTTCTCCATTCATTTTTTATAAATGTGTAGTTGAGAAATAATTGACACTGTCATTAAATTATTATTGTATAACATTAAAAAGAACACAATAAACACCACCACCAACAAAGAAACCATAATATGAAAAAATAATGAAACGAAATTATAAAAAAAAACAAATAAGTATAGGCTATTGTAGTAGAAAACCAAAGGAAAATTAAATGAGCAAATAGGTAAAACATGCCTATTCCGCAAGTTTTTTTTATTCAGTTTGTATTTTAATATTAAGTTATTGTAAAAAAAAGGATAGAATTTTCAATTTTCGGTGAAAAAATAACTTTTTTTAATTTGTTTTTTATTTTTCTCTATTCATTTAAAAATCAGCAAATTCTGCTTCGAATTTATTAATTTTACTTTTTTTCAATGGTTCTTCTCGATATCTTTCAAAATTTGTTGCATCACCAGGTCCTTTACAATTGGGTATCAAAGGAGCTGTTACCTAAAATGTTTTTGTAAAAAGGTAAAAAACCGGAACAGAAATAATATAAATTCAAATAATTGTACGTTGAATACCATGTGAAAAGATAATCTTATCATTATTGTAATTTCAATTTATCACAATTTATGATAATCATTGAGAGTCTGTTATTTAGTTGAATATGATTGGTTTCAGTGTCCCGCATTTTACAGTTAGCCATTATTAATGACAGTAGTTATTGCTACAAAAAGGATTAAAGTAGAGGCGTTTTTTTTCAGACTAAAACAGGATAAATCAACATATATCAAATGTTTCAATAGACGTGCTTTCGGTTTTCAAAATTCAAATAATGGCTGTTTTTTACAGTGTATTGTAAACACTATTCTATTTAGTTAAATGTAACGCACGGGTTTAACTTCAGAACTTGATTTTCAAATACAGTAAACTGTGTGGTGTTATGATTCTAACCCAATAAATTGCTAACTATGTTTCTATTGAAATAACAAATTTCAGTACATGCACAAGGGGGAAACCAAGATTTTGAAATACAGCACAGAGAACACAAATCCAATCACACCTTATAGGGAAGCCCTGGAACAGGTGGAAACTTCCACGGACCTTGACAGTATCATCGATGAAAAAGGGGCATTTGATGCAGATGTTAGTGTAACGATTAGCAAACTAAGTGCAGCATTTTTACAACTGAAGAACATATGGAAATGAAAACAACTGTCAAACAACATCAGTCAATCAGAATCGTCAATACGAACGTCAAGACAGCTCTATTGTATGTAGCTGAGACTTGGACAACTACCACAATCATAATCAAAAGATACAAGTATTTATAGATAATTATCTACTCCAGATACTCAATGTCTGTTGATCGGATACTATCAGCAACGTTCTAGTATGGGAGTGAGCAAACCAGCTCTTATCTGAATAGTAAATAGGGAAAGGGAGTTGGATGTGGCTAGGACATACATTGTGGGAATTACAAAACTGCATCATGAGGTATGCGTTTACTTGGAATCCTGAATGTAGGATGGAAAGAGGAAGATGAAGGAACAGATTGCGTCTCAAATCGGAAGTCCACATCGAAATGATAGATAGCAACTTTAAACAAGTGGAAGGATGAGCCCTGTTTGAGCTCCCATGCTTCTCTACGAAAGGTATCAAGTGTCATTAAGTAATTCTGTATGTTCTTATTCTTGCTTATAAGTTGTCGGCCTCAATACGATGAATAGTATTGTCCTGACTATTTACGATGTACCATTTCACTAGGGCGTCAACTATGGATAGCCTTACTTTTCAAATTGTTTTAGACTAAAAGATTATTGTTTTGTTCAAAAGATGGACATTATAAACTGCCTAAGTAATTAGGAGAAAAAGCTAAACATTATTGACTTAGTTTATATTTATTCTTCTGAAGTAACTATGAGAATTTTTAATCTTGACTGAGAGAAAATAACAAACAATTATATAAGTGACATATTCATAACTTTCATTTAAGTTTCGTTTTTAATTCGAAGTTTCATGAGGAACTGCTTTTCACCTATGAAAAATTTCAACGGTTTTAGAGCTGAATAAGTAATTAATCAAAGGATAAACCCGTTTATGCAAGGTATCACGTTTATTAGTCATCTTCGTACCGAGCTGAATTAACTCTTTAGTAAAATGAAAACATAACACTGCACCATTTTGACGCTATCAGAGAGAAATAAAATTATTTTGTATCGTAAATAAAGAACTGTTTTGACGTACAGTTTATATATATAAATTTATTTTGTTAAAAGAACTGGGAAATAAGTATTATTAGTCAGTCTTTAATAATGAAACTGTTCATTTGGGTGACGAATATAACATTAGATAACTCAGTCGTTATAGTTACAAGGAGTTTACTAATTTATTACACGAATGATGTTTTCTTATCCATTGGTAACCAAGAGTAAGTTGTGAATATTTTAAATGACTTAATTTCAAGATTATTCCTCGCATATCAGTTTCAGACTTATAGAAAAGACAAATTTGTGTCAGATGAGGTCCACGTTTTTAATAAATCATGAATAATCTGCTTGCAAATTTACTGCTCATGCTAAAGCATTAAGAAAGAGAGTGTAATCTGAACAATCCTTCTCGGAGAACATTCAGAACAACCAGGAGAGTGGACACAATACATTTAGAACATCATTTACCATAAAACGTACCAACGCATGTACCGATCTAGATAACGTTATCGTTGAACACACGATAGTTTAAACCTTCCACCGTCTAAAATGTAAGTGTATGAGATTGAGATATTTCCTGCAGTAATCGTTTTTGTTAAAGTTAAAATCATTTACGATTTCTTCATAATACATTTCTTATCCACATTTTCGATTATTTCGATTGATTTATCTGAATTTATTTCCATGTTAAATGGTTTGACAAGCAAATCATGGCGAACAGTTTTATGTACGATAGTTATTGAAGGAACATGTCACATTGTTCAAACAAACTCTGTTTCAGTTTGTCACATTAGCAAAGATTTATTTTCTAGGTAGTTCAAAAAATATAAGTTGTTGCTTTGTTTTATTTGACCAATTTATTGAATTCTAATCACGAAAGTTAAATTGATTGTCGTTTATTAGTCATCTAGAAGTTATATTTTCCCATTTCATTCATGGAGTATTTGGATTAAAAACAATATGAAGAAGTGAGGTCGAAGAATTTTAGCCAACGCCCGATATATTTATCCGTTTCTCACAATAATTTATTCATTACTGGAAACAGATATGATCATCACCAAAACCCTAATTATATTAAGTGATTCTTATGTGAAAATGTATGGTTCAATCCTACTGTAGGGAATAAGAACATAGGTGGGGACAACCAATTATCTATTACGCACAAATTACAAAGTTGCTTGATAAAGTACAAAAAACCATACTCTAATAATCTATTTGTAAAATGTTCACTAATTGTCTCAGGCTTCATTGTTCCTGGAATTTCACAACAATTGCTTTCAATTTCTGTTTTTTGTTCTCTATTTTCTCAATCTTCTGCTGCCAGATATTCTATTCCTCCCTCGAGATATATGCTACTTATGTCGTTATAAGTAGCCCACACCACGCTACTACTTATTAACATTAGATATAAATAACTAGTCCAAGGCGTAAGACAGTTCTCATTCGCAATTGCTAAGTTTCCGTAACTTATAATTTTACCAATATATATTACTTTATTCAAACACCTAATAGAGTAAAAATATACATACATACCATAGCTGATTTTGCTTACAGTAAACCGTCTTTTATTTTACTTTTTAACCAAATGCTTCAACTTTTAAAATAAATTTTATGGTAAAGAAATGGAAACTTCTGGAAGTATTGAACTTATGAAATCACAAAGAATAACATTTAACAAGACTCCAAATAACCTTTCAGAGACTAGTTGTAAAAGAAATATACACAAAATTTACTTTTCTATATAATCGTTACTTTTGTCTGAGATATGTTATCACGTTGATGACAATGACTTTTTAAACTCTCTGTATCTTCTAGAAATGAGACGCCACAAGCAACTAGCTCAGATTGTTATATGTCTTTGCGAAAAAGTGAAGTTCAGGAAATACGATCAATAAAAAATTTCAATAAATGACGATAAAATTCTGTATGGTGAAGAAATATTTATATACAAATAGTTCCTTTTATTTCTGATCTACAATGTTTATATGTATTTGTTGAATCCTGATAGCCAGAATTGAACGTCTTAAATTAGTGTAGTTTGCTCCATCTAGGAGATGCGGTCGTGTACATTCACAGTAATTTTTCTATCATTTACTTCGGCTTATAGAAGGTACTATATGAACAGATAATTAATACTGATGGAACAGAAATTCCAGTTATTGTATATATCAACAAGTTAGTTAAAATTTCTATATAATCATCATTTACATAACATTGAACCAGATAAAACTAATCTTTTAATATATACATTTGAAATCTTATTTGCTTTATCTAAAAGATATGTAGAACACATCTGTTAGCTGTCCAAACAAAGAATGTTATGCATATATATATACTCATAATAAGACACATCCGGTCAGTGTTTACACAGACTTAGTAAGCAAGTGTACAAATATAAACATTTTAAAATAATACTGATGGTTATCGCTCCCGAGAATAAGCAGATATTAACATATAAGATTCTTGAAAATATAATTGTTTTTTACGATTTATAAAGAAAAAAAACAACGACAAACAAACAACAAACATAATCGGGAGCTTTTGTATTGTCCACATAAAATTAAAGAAATTATGTCGTTTTGTTTTATTTCAAAATGATTTCTTTAAATATGGAACAATATGGATGTAAGTATTTTTATTTTCTATAACACTAATACTACTAACAATAACGGGTGCTTCTTGATCAATAGCAGGGACATTTTGAAACGAACTTTCTAAACTTCATCTCCAGTTTATTTATTAATTTTAATTAGTTACTTGAAAGGAGCCATGACCAGTGGAGTTTAGTGGAGCCAGGTGTGAGGCAGTTGCCCACCGTATATAACGGGAAATGGTAACGCAGTATCGAAGTAAGGCATCAACATTAATGAATAACTACTCGAAGGTCTTCAGGTTAAGCGTTTAAGCGCGAGACCGAAGGTTCTGGGTTCGAGTCCCGGGTGTGAGATCTTCGATGCGTACTACAGAGAAGTCCCATCCAAGGACGGATTGACCGTTCAGTGCTTCCAGGCTTTCAATAGTTGCGTAACTTAGATTACTTCACGATCTCAGCGAAACTCAACAGTTTTCATAACGCTATATGTATAATAATAAAGAAAACTTCGTGGCAATACTCGAATAAAATTTATGAATAATGATCAATAGAATAATGCACATGATGAAAAATAAATGATAGAATCATTCTCAGCTATCTACTTATTAATTCACGAAAGCGTTCTTCTTGATTTATATGAACAACTCATCTCTTGTCTTAAATCTTTTTCACAGGTATGAATACACAAATGTACATTAACCTTA